GTAATTAAAATCAGCTTTTTTGCATTTCTCCTACTAGTTCTTTTGAGAAATATCTGCTCTTATTTCAATTCTTCTGCTGAGATTTTTCTTCTCTGACTGCACATGGCATTATATGTAGCAGATGGCAAAATCCTAAACCAAATTATTAAATCTATTCCCTCCATCCCCCAAACACTCAGTAAATCAACATGTGCTGATGTTTTAATGAATACAGACTCAGTTTGGGTTCACTTCAAATCCCACTCACATGAACGACAGCCTTGATATTGATTTGAAAAGGAACATAAGTAAGCCTCACACCTCAAACAAACTGAAGCACAGAGACTGGGTCTACTCTTTTAAATACTTCCCATTTTCTTTGGGAATATATTCTTTCTTTATATGCCCAGTAATAACATTCTGTTGCAACCATGCCACATGCTAAATGCTTGTTAAAAACCAGCATACACTCTACACGGTCCTTTCATCATATTCACATAGGAAAAAAGTTCTAACTTTTTCCTAGGAAAGTATGTGCCAAATATATTAGTCAAAGAATTCAAAAAATGAAAGAATGGGCAAGAGTGATGTATCATAAATAACAATAAATAGCACAGTTGTCATTATCAACGAAATATTTACTGAAGGTTACTACGTAGCATTTTTACACACTTGGATACCAAAAATCAAACTGCCCCCAAATAATTTGTGAGCTGGATGAGGAGTATTAAAAATATTTCCCCCTATTTCCACAGTGAAAGAGACCAATAGCTAAAGACATCCTATGGGATCTACAGTCTTCTAGCAGTACCTTTACAGAGGCTCCAAGCTTGCAGACGCCTCTGGCGTGCCTCATCCAGGGTCACTCATTCTCCCGCTCCCACTGAAGGAGCAGGGTACCGAACTGTCTCCCAAACCACACTTTAAACAGGAGGCAGTTAGGAAGGGCTGTGGAAAACCAGTAAAAATTACAATCTCTGATCCCCCTGACTGTCAGAAAAGGAAGACTCTAAAAGAGTCCCCAGCCATGTAACATTAACCCGGTTGCTTAATCGCTACTGCCTGCGAGTCGGCTGCCCAGCAGAACGGTTCCCACTGCCTCCCGATGGCCCTTCCGACCAGGCCAGCAGCTGTACCGCGGCCTCACGCCCCGGGCAGCTCCCGAGGCTGCCTATCACACCCAGCCGGTGCAAGCAAGCAGCCTGAACTGAAAGGTGAGCACTGTGTCGAGGTGTTACTTACTGCAATCGGCTGCAAACCGCGCCTATAATGCCTGCACATTAAGCTTCCTCAGATTCAGCAAGAAGTGAAATTAAAAAGAGTTGATTAAATGGCCCTTTGGAACCTGACCTGCAGCTTTTCTCTGAAGTCAGTAAGATTCAAACTGGGGAGAACTAGGATGACATAAAAATTGGTGAGCTAAAACAAGCACAGTACAGCCATATACTGTAACCTTTATACCAACATCTCCTTGTGACCGAAACTTTACTAGTAATTTCTAGAATGCCTCTGCTGCTTGGTTGACCTCAAAAATCAGATAACAGCAAAAACTAAACTTAAGCTTTCAAATATTGAAGTAACTGCATCCTGTCGAAGTATCACTCCCTGTAAAAAATATATTGGTATTACTGCAACATTTGGAAAAGGTCTAAATAAATAGCTATAAAACCACATATAACAGGAAATGAGTCTATGTTATCTTTCACTGCTCTGCCCTGACAGGCTCCAGGCAGCTTATCCTAGCTATGCAACATTGTATCGACTATTATTAGGAAGCACAAAAATCCAGTCAGAACAGGGAACAAAACAGTTGGTAATGGATTTTTTTTTTTTTCCTCCCCACTAGTTTTAGGGATACAAGGTTCAGGAAAAGCAAACACAAGGCATTTCAGTTAGACAGATATATAGATACACACACACACACTTGTTTTGTAGCCTTTTTAATCCCCTGGTGCCAGGGATACCATTGTCTTGTTACGGCTGATGTTTGCATGCTATTAAAAAACATGTTCTAGAACAGCAGGACTAAACTCCTGGTTTATTCATATGTGAATTTCATTTTTTCATATTTGCAACCTCACATAATCATTCATACGACTATTTTTGGTAAGGGTGGGCATCACAGTCACAGCCTCTCAAGAACAGCACCTTTGTCATACCCATTTATCCAAGAGTCTTACGATTTATGAATATACATGATTTTCATGAAGCAGGCATTATATTCAATAGTTAGGCATGCACCAACATTGTGAAAAGTCTACTTCCAGGTAATTTGGCTGACATCATGCCAAAAAACGAGGAAAAAGGAGGAAAAAAACACACAGTTGCAGAGTCGCTAAGCCAGTTTTACTGACTTCCCTGTTCTAATCCCTGGGAAAATACTTCCTCCCAGAAAAGATGTTATGTGGGTGTGCTTGAAAACATCTGAGACTCTCAAGGAACACATTCTTTTTGTGGCATACACTGAAACATTTCTAAATGTGACAAATTACAGGTTCACAGCCACCTATCCAAATCTAAATGGAAACCAGAACAATCCTTTCTCAAACAGATGAAGGCCAAGTTATGATACCTCTCCTTGAGCTTCAGGGACTGTCATTTAAAAATAGGACACGACAACAACATCTCCCCTTTATTCTACTGTACAAGTCATCTCCTGCTGGTTTCCTGCTAGCAGAGCTCTTCCCCCTATCCTCCCAGGGACATTACATTTGTCAGACATCATTTTCCCCAGATCCTGGGCCACCAGAACAAAAATACAGAATGTAGTACATTCATTTACAAGAAAGGCCTTACTGTTCTCTCTTGTTTTGCGTAAAGGCCTAACTGATCATTTACCACACTTGCATTAGAGAAAGGTGAGAGATTTTTAGTCTAACACGTCATTCACAGCATTCTGTGGGTCTCTGAAAAGCACTTTTTGGTTAAGAGTTATACAGAAACGCTATATGGAACCATCTGATTCTTTTTTTTTTTAAAAAAAAAAAAAAGTAACTTAAAATGCAGCGTTAGGGCCAAAGCTTGCACTGGTTTTTAAGTCACCTTTAGAAACTCTATCAGCTATAGTAGGTAACTGCATCTTTTTCAAAGAATCATGTTTCATACTGGCAGAAGTCAGTACTTAAACCATGAATTTCCCTGTTAAATAAAAAAGTAAAACCAAGAATACTGCAGTTTTTATGGCAGTTTTAACACTGTGGGAAACAAAACCTGACCAATTTCTAAAATTAAATATTTCATTTGCCCCTTAGAAAAGTTTATTCAAATATATGGAATTGTACAGCATACACACAGCACCTCAAGATATCTGCACACCACTGACTAACCGCTATAAAATTATATCTTAGCATATATGGCTACCAGTAAGTCCCAAAGTGAAGCCAAGAACAACTCAACGTGCCAGATAATATATTCTGACATGACTGGCCCTGCTGCTCCGGAACAAACCACATTGAGAAAGCAGTGTTCTCACAGCCACAGGTCTGCCTCCCTTGAACTTGGGAGTGAAAAAGGGAAGGGGGGTTTGCAAGGCCAACCTCAGAAACCAGAAGGACGCCAAGGTGCAGAAACCTACAGTTTAATGACTGGCAGTCACAGACAGACTACCGGGACCTGCACTGCACTAAGACTAACAGGCTCCAGGACGCAACTTCCAGAAATACACACACACACTCTCTCTTTATAAATATATATATATTTTCATAGCTGTAGCCATGGGTTTCTAAAATGAGCATCAGTTTCCAAATAACTCTGCTTTTCAATAGAGCATTTTTTAAAAACACTAAAGAACACTGTACAGAAAAAGGCAACAGGAAAAAAACCCCAAAATGACAGATGTAAATGGTGTGTGAAAAAACATGACAGACAAGTAAAGGCAGCAAGGAAAATACCACTGATAGATGGAGGCAAGGTAAGAACTGAGCCTGGTACCTAGCAACAAAGTGATATACACAGATTTGCTGCTAGGATTTCCAGAATTCTGCATCTAACTCTGTAAAATACAGTAGGAGAGTGTTAAATGATTCAAGCGGAAAACAAAGACAAACAACATGAAACGGAACAGAAGAAGTTCGGAATGCCTAGATTTCAACTGGCACCCAGAAATCATACTTACATTATTCTTCTGGCAAATAATTTCCTGGAATAAAAAAAAAAGATGAAAAAAATAATGTTGATATCACTGAACAACTACTAGGAAAGGTATCTGATGAGTATGACTTGCTAATATTAACGTTCACAGACACATGACAGGAAAAGGCTAGTTGGTAGATGTTTTCTATGCCTGTCAAATCAATATAAATCAAGTATTGTCCCAGGAAAGACAAAACAACTATAGAACCAAGTAGATACTTACCTCCTATATATACACAGGAGCATATGCAGTGTGCGCATCTGTATATACATGCACACATGTACATACCTCTCCCTATATAAATTTTCCAAAAGGGATGCTGTCCAAAAGTTGACTATTAATACACATCTACTCATATCTGAGAAGTTAAATAGAGTAAGCAACATTTTGCTGCCGGCAGAAGAAACTGTGAAGAACAGCAAAAGCAGCTTTTCTATGAGGTTTTAAAATATTCCAAAACTGGTCGAAATTCACATTGTTCTAGTAAGTCTGATGCAAAGAATGCATCTTCACATGTTAAAGGTAAGGTTTCAGAGAACAAGAAGCCAGAGTTCACATGGATGGGATGAGCTGGTTCTTGCACACTGATCTGAGTGGTACAGCCCAAATGTGAACCACTTGTGGACAGTGACCTTGCTTTCAGGAAGATTTGTCAGCAAGTTCTAATCCCAGCAACCAATAACCCTGCCAGATTTATCAGAAAGCTACACTACGCCTCTGCCACTGGGACCGCTGAGCAACTTCACCTACACCACAGCATGAAAAACAAACACAGCATCAAACCAAGGCGCCTCGTATTTTCCACGTGGCGTAAGTCAGGCTTCCATAAAACTGCTCTTCCCCCTGTTGAGGGGGCATGTTTCACATACAACTGATGCTAGCTTTGGAAGTGGGGGACAGAAATATGTTTATATACATAAACATACAAACCTATACAGTTACATATATAGAACCATAGGATGGTTTGGGGTGGAAGGGACCTTTAAAGGTCATCTAGTCAACCCCCCCAGCATGAGCAGGGACATCTTCAACTAGATCAGGTTGCTCAAAGCCCCGTCCAACCTGACCTGAATGTTCACAAAAAGCAATATTCCACCAGCAAAAGTTTACCTACATTGCTTGGTACCCCAGTTAAATCATGTGCCGCAGTTTTGTGTTTCCTGCATTTCCATGATAATTTTCAGTTTTTGAATTCACCACCTTGTATACAAGATGAAAACTGCACACACGTTCCTGCATTGCTTCTACTCTACCTGCTGGCTGTAACAAATACAGGAACAAACATGGCCTCAAAAGATACCCAGGCATGCCTACAAATACTTTTTTCAGGCAGTCACTAAATAATATGGAAAAAGTCTTGCTCTCTGACGACTATCCTGCAAACAGCCAAAAGCAGAAACATGGGCTCAGCTCAAAGCTAAAGGAAGCTGAACAGAGTCTTTCAGTGGGCACTGTACCGGTGGCAACTGGGACATCCAAGTCTCCCTGTGCAGAATTGGGCTTCCACTGACGTCAGTGGGAACTCTGCACGTGACCCGTTTGCAAAGTCCAGCTCCTAAACTAGTGAAAAGTTCTCCCAAGTGCCCAAGGAAGCCCGGTGCCTCACTCCAAGTGATTTTCAGTGGGAGTTGGGTATTTGGCTCCTTACCCAGTACAATGAAATTCTGCTCTGCTTATACTGTAGATCATTGTACTTGCATAATTGAATTCAATCCACAGAGAGGCCTTTTGTCATTAGCAGTTTTATTTTTAGGGCTTTCATCTGTATGCTCTTTGTGTTGCAAAAAGAAAGGAAGTAATTGGATTGCAACCAGTCCAGTTGGCCAGGAAAATCTGGAAGGAAGAAACTGAGTTCGTCAAGGTATGCCCCTCCCATTAGAGGGCCAAGCTGCAAATAATGGGACAGAATCAAAAACAAGCATCCTGCACTAGCCAGAAGCAGTGGAAGCAAACCCTTCATGAGAGGCAGCAGTGCCCAGATTGCAGGCTGACTCACCAAGCTACTTACTAAAATGCTTCTTTTCAGCAATGCCTAGAATGGAAGCGCAGTAGCATAAAACGCCTCCTGATCAGAGCCAATGAATCTGCCATCCAAGTTGTCTGCCCTTCCCCATCCCCACAGAAGTTACTAAACCTTTAGTAGAGTTAGCACGAGGAAGCAAGCATCAGCTCCTTGGCTGACACAATTCACAGCCCCATAGATTATCTTAAACCACCATATTGCCTTAAGCCAACCTACTGTACTGTGAACTGTCCCCCTTGAGGATCAGGCACGATCTTTGTTTTTACTAACTCTGCTATGCTGCTGGTAATCTCCAGCACAGCAATCCTGCAGGTACCTGATGTAAACAGCTGTAACTCAGCAAGACATACAGAGGCCATCTGGGACCCCATCAGGTTTGGCCAGAAAACTGCTACTTTACACAGGAGCTAAAACTTAAGGATTATTTTGCTGTCCCCTACACACCACCATTCTCACCCAATTGTTATTACTTTAACAATTTACCCCAAACACCAGTAATGCCCTTGAATGACAAATCCATGCATTTTAACTATTAATAATCTAAAACCATTAATTTCTCATCTGAAATTTGTCAGACTTCTGTTTCCATAAAGAGCCATTTAACACCTAGGTATTTAACAGACAGTGATAAAGTCATCTAAATCTTTCTCTTGGGAAAACTAAACTGAGTTTTTCAGCATTTCACTGTGGCCATGTTTTCCAGGCCTCAGAATATTTTTGCTATTCTTTTGTGAACCACAAGTGGTGTCTGTATTTCCTGTGGAAACCGGGAACCCATTTCGAGAGCTGGACCAACTGTGACTTCCCCCCAACACACGCCGTTCTTCCATTCAAAGCTACCTTCAGCGACTGCAGAGACTCTGCGTTTGTATCACAGTAGAGGATAATGTTGTTAGCCATGCTGAAGCTCTCCCTGACTCCCAGGTGGTAGAACAGGGAAGGCTGACGGAAGGCATCACTCATCTCTACGACAGCAATATCTGCAGAGAGAAATGAAAAATTGTCAGTGCCACACATTTCTGACAGCCGAATACTTCTATGCCATGTCTTTTCACACAATTTGCTTTGATAAGACTACCCAATTTTAAGTAGGAAATAAGAGATCTGGAGGGATTTCCCCATATTAGCTGTTAGGTCTGAATTTTGAATGTAGTCAGCAGGATGTGGTTTAATTTTCTCTCCTTTCTTCCTTCCTCCCCCCCCCTTTTTTTTTCTTCTTTAAATGAGACCTTTATTTCCTCAGGTAAAAAGGGGTAAAACATCACTAATCAAGAAAAGGCAAAAAGTTCATTTGGTGCCTTGGAGAATCAAATCTGTTTGGTTAATCTACACAGGCTGATTGATGACCTCATGGAAAAAAAAATATGAAAAAATTACATTTGAAGTATATTTTCACCCTCCGCGCAAGTTGCAATAAAAATTCGTGCAACATATGTACATCACTGCAGAACATACTGTATAAATTCTGTATTAGAACTCTGGAAGAAAACAGCTGTAAATTGAAAGAAAGGCAGAAGTAAAGTTCCAATATAAACAACCATTCAGATCTATTTTGATTCATATAGAAAGACTAGAGAGAGAGAGAAAAGGACAAGGTACAGCAGATGAGAAGGAGAGAGGGCATGAATATGTAAAGCCATAAAAACCGCCATATAAGTAAGAACTTTACTGTGCAGAGAATTCTGTTCATAGTAAATTTTACCTGCATGAATAAAATTAAGCACATGCACAAATGCTTACAGAACAAGGAATGTAGTTCACAATTTCTCTTAAAACACGTGTTTCACTTGCCCAGATTCACACCAATGTAAAAGTAAAACAAGAGGCAATTACAAAGTGTCAGCAGAAATAGTTAAGGCTTCTATTATAACAGGCAGCATTGCCACTGCAAAAGTCGTGTGGGATCAAGAGAGCAAAACAAGAAAACTGACTCATCTCCACCTCTCCTGCAAACACCCTTCTGTCTCTTCACCCAATTCAGTTTTTTCTTTTCTTGGGGAAAAGGGGCGGGGGGACGGCCGGCCGGGGAATTCAGAGAACTGTAGCACTGTTAAGAGCAGAACAAAAGCAGCAGCCCGGTTTCCAGTCTCTCTCCCTGCTTTCCCCTTCCTGTGGGTGCTTTTGACAGAAAAAAGACAGATAGCAAGACAAGCTTTGTAAGCAAAAAGCTTACATACCCTCAAATTTCTCTACTCTAATCGATCTAATAAGAGATTCTACCTCTAACCACAACTTTCACCTTGCCTATTTCCTTAGATCATCAAAACTGTAATGAAGACATTCAATAAAAGGTAAGCCTTGTGGCCATGCTCTCAACTGGGAAGGCAGCAAGGGCGTCTCTCCAACTTGTTGAAAAGTAACATCTTTGAGACAGCTACTCTTCAGTCATAGTTTACTGTAACTGGCCTACAGGCTTAGAAATTATTAAAAAGCTGAAGAATTAATAGATACACGCAGGAGGATGAACAGACAACATTCGCCTATACAAGCTTAGGCTCTTCAAGAAACAAGATTAAAAGAGAGAAGACTAACATGGTATAAAAAAGGTATTTCCCCCCCCCCAATCAAATATTAAATGATGTTCTCTAAAAGTTTCATAATTTGTATTCCAAGAATCTCCCCCTGTCCAATTTCACATAAACATCTGCAGTATGGATTCCATCAAATACATTTTATTAAAGTAAAAAAGGCAGTGCATTGCTAAGATCATACTTATGCTGACTTTCATTAATTTTAGGAAACTGAGACATCACAAAAGCTCAACTAGAATGACAATATCGCTACTATATTTTGTTTGGGTGAGATTAGGGTTTGGTTGTTTATTTTCTTTAGGAAGTTACCATAATACAAGCTCTATTTTTAACTGCTCTTATTCATAGAAAAGTCTAATCTTGAGCAACTGTAAGTCTATGGTACACTTCTGTTACATTGAGCAGGAGGAAAATTTGCGCAACTTGCCATGACTTAATTTTCAAATCTTGCAAGATAACGTGCTCTCACTAGAGTTGCAAAACTAAGATTAAAAGAGAAATGTTACTTAAAAAAGAAAAGTAAAGTGATAGAGCCTGATCAAACTCAAAACCCTATCATAGCAATACAAAAAAACCAAACAAAAGCCTGGAGTTACTTAAACAGGGGAGGGAAGGATCACATGAATAAGGAAACATTTGTAAGAAAAATTATACTAAGATACTGGTATAAACTCTGTCATGGTACTTATATTTCTTATGTAATA